ATCTCCAGAAACCTCGCCTGCCCTGCATGCCATCAATGCTGCGCCTGCACACGTGCTTGAAATCTCTAAGCCGGTTTTAAACCGTGACCGACTGTTCTCGCTCTGCGTGGCTGTGAGCCTCCTTTAGGCTGTTAAATGGAACCTGCGCTGCAAAAAAACCCAAAAGTGCGATCTCCAGGTTTAATTAAGAGTCAGTTCAGGTTGTACCTTGTTAACAGAAGGTGGTTGGGTGTTGGAGGAGGGGAGCATCGGCTGGCGTGGGTTTGTGGATTGCTTTTTTGCTGTGTGTGCTGACCGCCCTCCTCTCTGAGCACGCTGCTGAAGTCTGACCTAAACCACAGCAAAACGCCGATGACTGACCCCTGCCTCAGTTTCCCCATCCGTGAAAGGAAAGTAGAAATGCTTCTTGGTGGGCTAGCAGCTGCCGGCAGCACGAGGTGTCACTGCCCAGTGGTTAGTACTGCGGAGGTGACAAGTTGAAATAACATCGCTGTCTGAGAGCTTCGGGGCTCAGCTGTCGGAGAGCTGCGGGGCTCGGGGCAGAGGTTGTGTCCGACGGCGGCATTGCAGAAGAGGGGAGCGCGACGCTGTCCTGCGGCTGTGACTCCGCTCCCGCTCCGCGAGATGCTGGTGGTGCTTAAATATGCTTTGGAGGAAGGAAGGCTCTGTGCTCCTGAGCTGGATTTAACTCAAACCGTGATGTGTTGGGGTAGAAAACCCAACTCTTTAGTAAGAAAGTACTTCGATGCGGGTGTCTGCTCACGCTTGCCTTTGCGTGTGGCTTTTTGGACACACTCGCTGCTTTTCTTGCTCTTGAGGAGCCCGGTTTTCCCGGCACCGGCCTGACCCCCCCCCCCGGCCTGCATCACCCCCCTCCTGTGCCCTTTTTGGCTGGACTGACTCTCATCTCCGGCTGGAAATGCCGGCCTGGGGCTGCGCAGGAGCTGCTGCCCGCGTTTCAGAGTTGGTGTTTTCCAGGGTCCTTTGGTCGCCCCCACTCAAAGGGTCTCTTGGGCAATGCCAGCAGGGAAAAAAATGGATGGTGGGCAGATTTGTGGTGTGCTGAGAGTAGTGCTGGCCCCGTGGGGCAAAACAATCTCTGTTTCATTGCACTCCTGCTCCGTCTTGTATTTTATAATTGCGTTGTAAGTTCTGGGTCAGGGGCTGTGTCCTCCTTCTGCGGAGGAGGACCTTGGACTTTGGTCGTAGCTGGGTGGCTGGCATGGGGCCCTTGGGGCTACGCTCGTATTTGGGGACCTCCGACTTGAGGGGCTTCGAAGGGGCTGATGCTGCCACGCAACAGCACTGAGCGTCCCCTCGGGGCAACGGGGACCAGCTGTGAAATGGGGTTGGGGGGCATCAGGGTTTGCAAAGCCATTTTAACCAGTCACATCGGTGGGTTTTTATAGTTTGGGTGGCCAGGGCCTCATCTCTGGAGCAGCAGCCTGAGAAAGAGCTCGGGACTGTGGGACGTTGCAGTTTTGGGGCAGGGACATGGAAAAACGCAAGTTGCCCTGCAACAGCTTCTTAACCCTGCGTATGAACGCGCAAACCAGATTTTGATGAGGAAAAAGCCCCGCGAGGGCTCTCCGTGAATGTGGTTTGGGTCCTGCAAGCGAACAAGTGCTGACCGCAAGCGGGGCTGTTGCGAGCGCAATGGAAAACAGACCTGGAGGTGCCTACGGAAAACATCAGGCGGTCGCCGAGCGGGGCGGGCGTGCTGAACAGCTCCCCGCCCG